CTTATAGATGCGTTATATATACCATCTTAAACTACACGCACGCAGTTCTGGTACGCCATCTGTTAGGAACCAGCAAGAAACTTATTCAAGGTCCTAATATTTATTCTCAAACTCTATCCTACATTTTATTTATTATTTATTAAAATTATTATTTTACTAAAAATGTTGCAATGCAATACCTGCAACAATGAATAAAAATACTTTTTTTATTATTATGAAATATAATTTAAAGTACATTTTTTTTACAACGCAAACAAATTTTTTGTTAATATATGCTGATACTTGAATAAACAAAGTGTTTTTTAATGGATTTTTGGTCACTGAAAACAATCCGGCAGCTAAATTGATCTACCACGTCAAATTTTCGAAAAAATTAAGGTTAAATATATAACATACTGTCTATTAGCNTGAGAAAGAGCATATCAGTGTGTCTCATTCACACTAGTGGACATTGTGTTACACAGTGTCGACTGTACGTAAGTGGAAAACACCCATTGTTTCTCTCATATTACTCAAGAAATATGAGAATAATACATTACATTTATGATTACGTCATTGCCAAATGCGTATAAACAGAAGTATTAAAATCTTACAGGTGAATTTTACCGGTTCCAACATAAGTTAACAGGTATTACTCGCATAAACAAGATCTAACTAAAAGACTGTTCAATATCTGTTAACAATCTGTTATCAACACAGGCGATAGATACGATCGCAGATAATCGTCATTTTTTGTTGTTGTCTAGATGTCAAACAGACAGTCTAGTAGTCTTGCGTGCAAACAGTCCGCATGTATGCACGAACAGATCTGCTTGGCGTTTGCCTGCAATCTGTCGTCAATGCGTTCAACAGATCGACCCGACTGTGGTCACCGTTTTGTCATAAACAGATGCTCGTACGGTTTTACGGACTGTTTCGTCACAGTATTGCTAAAAGCAGATCTGTTTGCTATTGACCATATATTTGTTGTCAATTTCACTAACATATATGGAATTGTTTTGGCCGCAATACTCTCATGTATNTGCCAACAGAGTTGTTACGTTTTTCGTCTCTGTGTGTTAACAGTTTTGGCAGCATCAAAGTATGTTTTCGTATTGTAGCGTTTCTGCACACAGTTTCTGTTGCCAAGGTCTGCGCAGTTAAAAATTGTTTGCTGGGTACTTATTTTTTTGTAATACAACACTTATTTATAATAATTTCTATGGTTTGTTGCACAGGTTGCACACAGGACGTCCAGACATATCAATGCGTATGCTCGATTCCCTCTCCTTTTCAAAAAGTGATCGCTCAAGGTGGTTGCCATGACGCGTACATCCATTCCTGGATATGTCTACTTCCACTACCGATACGTTCCCTCTTGTTTTTTTTACTCAATGACTCGACGAACGGCAACGTCAGAACTTCTACTATTGCATGTAAACCATATATGTAATACACTTCTATATCGCTAGTCGCGTATCTTCGCAATGAGAGGCACGAGGCCCGAGAAAGAGAGACGCACGAAGTCCAAATATGGGCATAGATAGTCGAGCGTCATTATGCGCAGACGCGTCTACTAAGCGAGTGCGAGCGAGACAAAGCATTGAAAAGTGAGAGAACGCGAAGAAAGAACGCGAGAAAGAGAAATGCCCAAGCGTGCTTGAATGTTCACCGCATGCGCACAAAGCAGCTGGACCTTGCGCGAGAGAGAGGCTACTATAATTGTCTACACCGTAACGTTTGTGCTTCAGGTCGGCACCGTACTAGCGATATAGAAGTATTACATATATGATGTAAACAGAAAAAAGGCATATGCGCGCGCGTGTAAGTGAGCGTTCTCACGCGACGTTGCAACATCTAACGCACTACGCTACTCAAAATCAAGCAAGTTCCTTGCTTGACATACTACATACCAGATGAACTTCCTTAACATGTTAAGCGCGATGTCAGTCTCTGGCGACTGACAGTGAACTTTTCGTTTGGGCAGCATCGGTCCGTGGAACCAACAGTATGATTCAAATAAATAAAAATGTTGTTTTAAATTTTAAGAAAAGCGGCTCGTATGACTTTATTCTGTAATTTTAAGGAAGTTTATTAAACCAAAAAAACAATTCTCGTCGAGTGATCGCCGCCGCGCCGCACAGTGGGACAATGCAGACAAAAACCGGACATTTGAAAAGAAAAATGTCTTTAAATTCTAAAACTAAATTTAAAACTAAATGTTTTAAACTCGTTGAATATTGAAATAAAAAGAGAGATATGGAAATGGCAATAGCAATCTAACACCAGATGTTCGGGTACAATTCTTTAAAATCTTCGAATTATGAAAGAATTATATCCAAACATCTGGTGTTAGCTTGTTATTGTCATTTCCTTATCTCTTTTTATTTCAAAACTAAATTTATTCTTATTTAAATAACTAATTAATATATCTATTAATACTTCTAAAAACGTAGTTTACTTGTTATTGTAGAAAACAGAATAAAATGTCGAAATAAGCAGATGAAAGAAGTGTAATAATTTTGTTACCTAATTTTAAAACATCCACAATTATATATAGAAAGAAATCGATATAAAATGCATTTTACCAATTATTTAGAAAACCTTGCTAATAATATTTACGTTAATTACAAGTTTTTAATCCTTCAATATGTGTAAACAATTTTCTTAAAAATTATGAACAAAAATAAAGTTTCAATTCAACGGTCTAAAATATACAATATATCAGTCGAGTGGAAAGTGTCTAGTTTATAGAAACTCCCTGTTGTTTTTACCCCTGAGCACCCCTTTTATAATAAATTGCGTTGCAAATACTATTCAAATACAAACATGTATATTTTTAAAATCCAGTATCTTATTTATTTTTAAAATTTAATGTGTGTAATATATCACAAATACTTCTAATTATATAAAAATATGCGGAGTGTATTTATAAAATATATAATTTATAAAAAAAAGTTTTGAGCTTGGTAAATTTTTGCAGAACACTCTGTATGTAAAATAATATTACAATATGCATTTATTTATCTTGTGTGCATTGTCTTATTTATTTATAGTAAATTTTGTATTATTTTATTAGAATATAAAAGTGCACAAGATAATGTTCCGTTTTTGATCGTATCGCCCCACTGTGCGCCGCCGCGCTGCACAGTGGGAAAAAAGTGCCGTTTTATGAACAAAAATCTATCGACACCGTATTTTTTGATCAAATTGGACACTTTTTTTTTAAATACTCGGGAGAATATTTTCTTGTAGGTGGCGCTGCGAAAATTACGATATATTTAATAGCGGATCCAAGAAATAAAATGTAGTTGAAAGTATATAAAAAAGTTTATATACATATGGTTTTAGGGACTATAAATAGGGACTATAAACATTTTTAAACAATTTATTTAATTGTTTGCAAAGACTGAATTTTGTTTTATTGCTTTATTAACTGCTTCATGAATAACGCCATACTTAAGCCCCTTCACCGCGTCAAGGTATCAGTCATTAAAAGAGTTTAGGATGGTTCTGTAACTTTTTTTTCAATCTCTGCAAACAATTAAATAAATTCTTTAAAAATGTTCTCATAAAATAAGTGAAAAATAGATGAAACATTTGAACATTAAAATTCTTACATATTTATTACAATTGCCTGAATGTTTATGAGTATTTAATATACAAAAATACACAGATCAACATAAATAAAAAAAATTTGGAAAAACAAACAGTACAGAATTTATCTTATATTAATGATAAAAGTTCTTGAATGACATCTCCCTTCCAAAATAACCCTCATTTTAATCCGGCATTTGGAATTTTGTACTTCTGATCGCAAAATTCATAGTCAGTGCCCTAAAACCATATGTATATAAACTTTTTTATATACTTTCAGCTACATTTTATTTCTTTGATCCGCCATATTAAATCCGCCATTACATATATCGTAATTTTCGCAGCGCCACCTACAAGAAAATATTCTCCCGAGTATTTAAAAAAAAAAGTGTTCAATTTGGTCAAAAAATACGGTGTCGGTATTTTTGTCCATAAAACGGCACTTTTTTCCCACTGTGCGCCGCCTGAACAAAAAGCACAGCAAAATCAGCTCCGCGCTTAACGTGTTAAATACTTATACAGAGAAACACATCAACAAATTCACTCTCAAAATTTTATGTTTATGTTTTTGGTTTTCTTTTTATTTTCCAATTTATATATGTTACCAAAACTTGTAAGTTACATATACAAATTTACACAAATAAATTAAAATTTATTGTCAAAAAAGATTTATTATAAGTTAGTTGTGTTTAAAATATAACTTATAAATGGGATAGGAATTAAGTAAAGATTAGCTCTTCTCTCTCTCTCTCTCTCTCTCTCTCTCTCTCTCTCTCTCTCTCTCTCTCTCTCTC